GATTCACATTTTAATAAAATTACAAGTTGGGCTACCTATCCTGCCTTGTGACCCACATTGGCGTTGTCCATATGTTGTTTAATAATATTTTTATTCAAAACATGCTGCATAACTGCATTACTGTTATTAATGAAAAAGTGTAAGGTGGTTATATCAACTTAATATTTGGAAAAAAGTAATTATAACAGTGACTGTGTTACAAATAATGTGTTATACCTCCCAACCCTGCTAATAATATGTCATGTCACAAATATATCATGATAACGGATAAATTTTGTCCAATTTGCAGAAGATAGATGTGTTTTACAAGAGATTGCAAACAATTTAAAAGTGGAAACTCCAACAGTACAAGTATTAAATCTATCAAAATCAGGTAATAATAAATTAATAAATTAATGCTGCGTTCTACTTAACTACAAAACAGTATTTATAAAAATGAAATACAAAAATTATTAATATATCTGAAGAAAGAAGGAGAAGACGAACGCTTTGAAGTTTTTATAGCATTAAATGTACCGCAGTCTAACAAATACTGGAAATATTCAAAATTATTGCCATATTTATATTTAAAAAACATTAACAATTTTCCTATTTAATTTTTATAAATTCTGCTTTCCAGATTTATCATCATCTGTTACCACAAATACTACGTTGAACAGTAGTACATCAAATTTAAATGCTAGTATCGAAGATAATATTTGTACATCATCAAATACCAGTTCTCATAATGTTGAACAGTGCACTATATGTGTTAAATCTAATTTTAATTCGATACATTGTAATAATAAAAATGGTAACAATGAGATTAGAGATGTTACGAATTTAAATGATACTGCTGTTACTGAGAAAAATAGCGATTTATTATTTTATAATAACAACTTGATGAATGGTAAGTCTTTGATATATACAGGCAATCGCATATACAGAAAAATGATAAAAATATGGTTAATGTAATGATAGTGTGCCAGATTCTAATACTTTAAAAAATTAAAGTATCAAGTATTGTATTTTCAGCAATCTGATGTATTTTGCGTCTTTATAAGATAGTACATATGCATATAGTTCATATGATAATTACAATCCATCTTTCACAGTACAATATATCAGTGAGAATTCTTCTATTAAATTCATTTAAATATTGTCCTCTAGACACATCATTATCTATTACTACAAATGCTGTTTTGAACACTAATGTATCAAACACAAATACTAACATCGAAAGTGATACGTGCATACTAGTAAATATAATAGGATTTGCTGTGATGTTAAACAATGTACTGGTTGTGATATACCTAATTCTAATTCGACGCTGGTTGCTAATACCAATAATGACAATAGAAGTAATGATTTTCCGAATTTATATAAAGATAATACTGTTATCGAAAGAAACAGCAATTTATTATTTCATAACTTGATAAATGATAAGTTTTTGTTATACGCATGCAATGCATACACAACATAATATATAATAAAACTTTAATATACAATGTGGCAGATTTTTATACTTAAAAAACAATGTATTGAGTACTTTATTTGCAGCATTCTGATATATTTTGTGTAATTATAAGTGAGTTCATATCCATAATTTACACGATAAATAGGTAATTCATCTTTGACAGTACAATATATTTACAGGATTTATCAACTTAATTCTTTTAAATGTTGCCTTTTAGACATGCCACTATCTATTACTACGAACGTTGCTTTGAACACAAAAAATTTATCAAACACAAATACTAACATTGGAAGTGATACCTGCATATCAGCTAAAAAGAGTACCTGTGATGTTAAACAATGTACTAGTTGCGATAAATCTGATTGTAATTCAACACATAATGACAATACAAATGTTAACAAAGACAGTAGAGATTGTACGAATTTACATGAAGATACTAGTGAAAAAAATAGCGATTTATTATTCCATAAGAATAAATTGACGAATGGTAAGTGTATGATGTGTACATGAATATACAATATAATGATAAAAATATGGTTAATGTAGTGTTTTACAATGTGACAGACGTTTATATCTAAAAACTTGAAGAATCGAGTACTTTATTTGTAGCAATCTGATATATTTTGTGTAGTTATAAATGATAGCTCATATGTATATGATTTACATGATAATTACAGAATTCTTCTTTCGAGGTACTTGTGGTAAGAATTGTTCTACTTAATTTTTTAAAACATATTACTTTCTAGACATGCCGCTATCTGTTACTGCAAATGCTGCTTTGAACCCAAATGTATCAAAAATAAATACGGACTTTGAAAATGATGCCTGCATATCAGTAAATAAGAGTTTCTGTGATATCGAACAGCCTACAAGTTATGATAAATCTAATTCTAAGTCGACACATAATGATAATACAAATGATAACAATGAGACGAGAGATTGTGCGAATTTACATGAAGATACTGCTGTTATCAAGAAAAATAGCGATTTATCATTTCATAAGAGCTTAGTGAATGGTAATTCTTTGATATACACAAACGCATATACAGCATAATGATAAAAATATGGTTAATGTGACAGATTCTTATATAGTATCTTAAAAAATCTAAGTATCGAGTATTTTATATACAGCAATCTAATATATTTTGTTGTATTATAAGTGGTAATTTGTACACATATACAATTTATATGATAATTGCGCGATTTGTTTTTCACAGCATAATGTATTTGTAGTAAAAAATTTGGTAATTATTTAGATTAGCACACCCACCTCCAATAACCTTGGGCTTGACATATATTATAGAGGTCACCCTCCTGAGTAACCCTCAGAAGGATTGAGCCGGCGCTCGTTGTTTATTAAAAAGTTATTAAAAAAACAATGTCAACCAATTATATGTAATTTTCAGACACAAATATTAAAAATTTTGAAAAATGTTTTAAACAAAAGTTGTAGATCTCTTTGAAATATACATTTTATGTTCTATTCATTTTTACTGTGCGAGTAATAGTTTTCGAAAAAAATGATGAACTCTAAATCTTATATCTCTCCTCCCATCTCCATCTGTCGTACGTCATGGAAGTACATGCATAGAGACAGTATGTTCCGCCCCCCCTACGGGGGGACTCCACTTCGTTAATAATAACCCTACCCACCCTATGTCAGAGGTGTGGAGTGGATCTCGCTTCACGTGGAAAGTCGAAAACCCATGTTGTGTCGCTACATTTCGTCGGTATGACAGATTTCCTAACTCTAAAAGTTG